GTGGGAAAGCACGAAAGAAGCAAAAAGAAGAAACGGACGGAGAAAGTACAGAATAACCGATAGCCTCACATTAGAGCGTCGTGTGTACTCGGATCATCTACAATTCTGCTCGAGAGTGTTGGAAGACCGACTCCGATTTCTCTGCTAAAAAATACGAAAACTCACACCATTCATTATTGTCGTTGCTTTATAAATCTATTGACTGATCTGTAGTTCTAATTCACACATACCTGAAGGCAATTACACCTTTTGATAAGGATATCAGTAAGGACCACAATGTTCTTTGTCTATTAGAATAAAAATTATCGTGATGTATAAATTTTCGCCAAGAAATAGGGTTACTTATCCGACCGTAGTGGAAGTTGAATTTCTACGAAAGTTTCAATTTTAAACAAACTTAAAACGAAAATTATCCTCTGAAAAGTTTTCTTCAGAGTCTTAGAACAAAACCTCTTCCAGAAGAACGTCAAGAAACCACCTTCGTAAGTCATCCAGTTACCGAAAATTGTCGAGAGCTATTAGAAAACCGGCGTTATCCCTTGTATAGAGCATACAAAGTTCAATCTTTGATCAACAGTCGACTGTTTCTTCACTTCCGATCGTTGCCATGGGTCGCATCTATCACATGTGATATTAAAAAGATGAAAAGGGTAAAGCTTTTCGCGTTGATGAATCCCTGGGGTGCGCCATGCATACGACTTCATTAAGCATCGTTTGGAGGTGATTAAATGTATATCTGGCCTTTACAGCGACTCACGGTGGCCTACTGTTGTATCGAGCCAGTGCTGCTATCCTTCCAGACAAGTCTGGTACCAATTCACCGAACCCGGAGAGCTTGGTGGGCCACAAGCATGGGATCAATCTCATGTGTGTATCGCATAGCGCCTCCGACCACTGTGCCTTGCACTTTGGGATAGGTAGGCATGACAAGTACCGCGATGTATATTCATTCAGCATTTTTCACAAAATCCTTCCAAATTCGGAGAGCAATGTGTTTAGTGGGCGAACCATAGTGAAAAATGTAACATATACTAGCATTACTAGACCTCCAGATGAATAAGATAAAACCTCTTCTATAATTACACGACGCTTTCAACTCCATTAATCTTCTATCTAATGAAAACTGTCTTTGATTATAGAAAAAATAACATCGCCGTGTTTAGATCGCGGACGAGTTCACCGTTCTCTTTCGGTTTTCGCGAAATTAACTGCGATCAGTTATGTGCTAGCTGGCATAAATAAATGATTAATGATAAACCTTTCAGCGTTGATCAATCCCTTAGGGATGCACCATGCCATGCGAAACGGTAATCGCAGGTTCGGTCTGGCCTGCCGTCCAAGTTTTGCAAATATCTCAGCATTTGCAAAACTCTGGACCGCAGGTGTCTAAGGTTGAGAACGAACGCGCTATTGCTCTTTCCGGGGAGTTACGCGTTCACCACCACACCATGAGGGTCCTTCGTTTCGCCTGTGTCTCAGCTAGTTCTACCGATCAGTGCCGTCAGCAATTACCCGTCAACGGCATTGATCTGGGGAATCCACATCGGCATTGAACCCAGTTAAGCTGAGATTGCAAAGATTCCTATTCTTCTAAAATGCAAGTACTATGCGTCTTCAGACGACTGTTTGTCACTTATTTTTATTTTTAACGTCTCGTTCTTTTGTTATGGTTTCGTTGCACCTTAATTGAGATTTAGTGGTTACATGGGCGACTCTATCATGTGGCGTGACGGAAAGTATTGTCGAACCGGCAACAACTGCACGATTTTTCCAAATTCGAAATGTGAAGACGGACTATGCATCAAACCTAAACAGCAGCCAGGTGAGAAGACAGCAAGAAAACACCTCTGGATCGGACGGAAACCGCTGAGGGCGACCGCCCATGTATTACTCTGTGCGGCTGCTATCCATCAAGTATCAGCTTAGATACTTACAACAAATAAACGGCTCTGAAGAAAGCGAAACCGACGAAACAGCTATTGTATCCTAATAAATTCTATAATAGCAACCTCGTGTCTACTTATTGAAGAAAAACATCAAATTATCAATCAATGCCGAGGTGAAGAGAAAGTCGATCTTGGGAATTGCTACGTGAAGTCCTTAACTAGTTCCTAGGCAAGATGCCCGTTATCAATTTTCTTTTCTTCCTTGTGATGTCTTGGTCCTAAAAGTATGTTGCCCTTTAAAAGAGAACTAGTATCTAGTCCTTTCTTTTTAACTAGAAATACATCAGCCGTGTACCGGTTGACCTTAGAAGCTATGACGATATGTTCTTGATCGAAAGTCTAGCATGGAGAAGATTTTTTGTCTTTTTACAAATTTTTGTCTAAGATTGGATGTATAGGTTGGGTGCAAGCTGGTGGATAGCAAAAGCCCCAGTAAATCGCTGTTCATTCCTTCTTCATTATGCTGGCTGTAGTGAATCACATATTCCTGAGCAGGGCTCGAATGAAGTCACAGTGTACTNGTACTTAAGTTAGTTGATTGGTACTACTCTGTGCGGCTGCTATCCATCAAGTATCAGCTTAGATACTTACAACAAATAAACGGCTCTGAAGAAAGCGAAACCGACGAAACAGCTATTGTATCCTAATAAATTCTATAATAGCAACCTCGTGTCTACTTATTGAAGAAAAACATCAAATTATCAATCAATGCCGAGGTGAAGAGAAAGTCGATCTTGGGAATTGCTACGTGAAGTCCTTAACTAGTTCCTAGGCAAGATGCCCGTTATCAATTTTCTTTTCTTCCTTGTGATGTCTTGGTCCTAAAAGTATGTTGCCCTTTAAAAGAGAACTAGTATCTAGTCCTTTCTTTTTAACTAGAAATACATCAGCCGTGTACCGGTTGACCTTAGAAGCTATGACGATATGTTCTTGATCGAAAGTCTAGCATGGAGAAGATTTTTTGTCTTTTTACAAATTTTTGTCTAAGATTGGATGTATAGGTTGGGTGCAAGCTGGTGGATAGCAAAAGCCCCAGTAAATCGCTGTTCATTCCTTCTTCATTATGCTGGCTGTAGTGAATCACATATTCCTGAGCAGGGCTCGAATGAAGTCACAGTGTACTCGTCAACGTCTCAAAAGGTAATGTGATTCCTTTCTATGCTTCGCCTAATTTTTTTCTCCTGCCATACGAGAGGAGGTCATTCCACAATAGTTCATGTTAGCACTGGTTTCACTGACTTCCTTGAGCGAAAAGTTAGACTGGTCGGAAGCTTACGTGTTGCGTCTCATGATTTCCGATCAGCTGTACCACCTGGCCGCCGTTGATCGTTGGGTGACTCGAGCGGGCTCCAGTAAATTCATTGTTCTCTTGTCACATGCAAGAACAGTTCAGTGGGTTCTGCTCGTCCTAGGGACTCATCGAGCATCATATCTCTCTTATAGGGTTTTAGTGATCTGACGGTCGGGTAGGCGGTCTTCTTGCAATACGTTTGATGTCTCGAGGAATCCCGTCACTAACGGCTATTGTCCATCGGTCGTCGTTCATACGCATTACGTGCCCGGCCCACTTTATCTTCGACTGTTTGGCGTATAGAACGGCATCTTTGATTTTTGATCGTTGACGAGGGTCGTAGCTACGGATCCCATCCCTTACTTATGTGAAACGATATACTCTCAGCATCGTCCTTTCGACTGCGTATTCGACAAAGCTGAGTGGTTTTTCATCCTGCTTACGCAGCGACCAGGTTTCTGACGTACACGTTAGGGCAGGAGGTATTGTGGAGCCGAAATGGTGCGCATGCTGTCGTCTGTTCCTTGTTCTCTTCACTACGTCCTCGATACTGTTGAAAGCTCCCCAAGCCGCTGCTCAACTCTGAGTCGTTCATCATGTTGATTTTGCGGCTTAGTTAGACATAGCTGGAGCATTCGGAGATGTTCGTGCCGTTGAGCGCGGATGGGGCATGCGAAACCAATTCGTCCTTCATGAACATCGTTCTTGTGAGATTTAGTCCAATATCAATCTTTTCACAATTGTTACGAAAGTCGGCAAGCATTCGTTCATCCTGGCAGCAAAAACGAAGATAGTATAGTTGCCTATCATCGATTTGTACCCCAGTGTTATCCCATTCCAATGTTCGCATGACGTTCTCGAGTGTGGCGGTGAATAATTTTGACGAGATGGTTTGCCTTAGCTAAGCCATCTTTTGACGTCGGTGTTAATATCGTTACAGAATGGTGGTATTCTTTTGCGAAATTTTTGCGTCCTCTCTATCCAGAACTTCAGTGACTGCTTCTATCTCAACTGAGTCAAAGATTTCCTTAAATCAATGGATGGAAGTGAGATGGAGCGGTCTCTTGTGATCTCGCGGTAAATGTGGTGCATGGTACTGAATCGTTTTCGAAAGTCTGCTAGCTCACATGGTTGCTTTCGTCCAGTGTCTTGTGAATCTTGTTTAAGACGACTCGAGTGAAGAGTTTGCAGACGAAAGGCAGCAAGCAGATTGGGCGACAGTTGCAAACATCGTGGTGGTCATTGTTCTTGAACAATAACGTGATCTTGCTAAGCTTTCACTGATTAGGGACCATGCATTCAGAGAGGTAACGTGTTGAGAGCCGAGCCAGTATGAGGACTGGCAAAAGGTTTTTCTGGTGTTCAGATCCTATCCTGTCTAGACCAGGTGTTGTTCGATCCTTCATCGACGAAATAGAATGCCGGATTGCGGAAGGGAGAACAGGTGGAACGACTATCCGTCCATTTCATATTAGAGGAGGAGGACGTAGCTGTTGAAAAAAACAGGGTAGTAACCGTGAATGATTTTCTCCGTTGCTTTCATGGAGACCGTAATTATTCCGTCTGGGCGTTGGAGTGCAGTCATCTGGCTTCTGTAATTGGCGAGCTTTCGGTGCGCTTTGCGAGTGCTTTTCCCAGCCTCTGCAGCTTGGATCATAAATGTTGCTTTTCTCCCTTTAAAATTTTTCTTTATCATCTTCTCATCAAATTTTCTTCACATTGTTTTCCAAGTTTGGATGTGAGTTAAGTGTCTCCTGTAGATCATGCGCTTTGACGATGAGGTATCATTTCAAGTGCTTCTGGAGACGGAGTCTCTTGGTGACCTTCGAACTCTCAGCTTTCATAGCGCCAACATGATGCTGATGAATGAGCCCACCGTATTCCTTGCCGATGTTATCAAGAACGCTATCTTTCCAAGAGTCAACTAATAAACTGAGTAGGTAGTATCTTGTAGTAACTCCCACGTCCGGCATTCTATTAACCTCGGCAATGATTGAATAATTCTTTCTATTTCTGTTCAGTATCGTCGACTACGACTAGAAAACGACTACACGAAGTATGGGGACTGCCAAAGAATGACCACCGAGTACTGGACATTGAATTGCAAGTACTACGCACCTGTCTACGAAGCAAACAAAACCAGATGTTCGCCAAGTGGAAGAAGTGCGAGAAGAAAGAAAACTATTGTGCTCAGTGCTATTGTGCTCATCGGCTCTGAGGAAGACGAAGACGTCGAAACGTTAGCCGAAAATAAACATCATTATCAACCTCGTGTAAGCTCATCAAAGAAAGAATACATATTGTGCTCGGTATTTGGAGGACCGCCTCTGTAAGAGAGTAGTGGGCTCCGAGGAAGGCGAAATACGCCAAAACGTCAGCTTGTACGTAAATAAAGAAATAAAATAACACCTCGTTTTTGCTGAACAGAAGTGGAATGAATAGATCATAGTTTATGGTGGTTTTCCGACTTGGGTTTTGAATTTAGCAATTTTTCTTCTTTTCACTAGCAATGAAATCTCGCATGAGAGAGGAGGTGGTCAGAACCAGCGTAGAATTTTGGGACAACATCGACTTGAAACGACTGGGACTTGAAACGTTCTTCTGGTTCCATTCATAGCTTCAAAATCTCCAATGATAACCTTGAAGAAGGTTGGTACTGGATTTAGGGTGTATGTCGATTCAGGATATCGTATCCCCATTTTTCCCATTTGTTATCAGAGGACATCGCTTTGAGTGCACTGCGCATTTCATGACACTTTTCGGTGTGTAGTGGCCTGTTTGCTTGGATAGATTTTAATGAGCACATATTATTATATTAAAGCTAGCAAAGACGACCAGTAATTCTTAGGTGATACGTCATCTTAACTGATTTTGTCACCTCAGCTAAAGTATTAGATCCACATGAAATCTAAAAGCAGCAAAACCATTGCTCTGCCCGGATTTCTTTCGGCGACGAAATTTTTAAAAAAGAATTAGTAATATATATTTGATACTTGTTAAAGGCGTGTGTAGTGCGGTAGTTGAAGGGACCTGCAATACACACTTGGGCGCTGTTTCGATGTCTAGCGTTGCAGTACACAGCGCCTTTCATCCTCCGGGATCGGTAAACTGATACCAGGCGTGTCTAGGAATATAGCAGTAGTGACTTGATACGCTGGAAGGCCACCACAACTCATTGCATTAGAATGATATGCATTCACTAATCTCTAACGATGCTTGATAAAGTCAAATGCATAGTGCATCCGTTTGAGCTTGGTCGACGCCTCACCTTTTATCCTTTATGGCTTACTTGTTGTTAATGAGCAACAAGATTTAAGGAACAGGACACTTTTTGCAACCTCACAGGGTTTTTCATAGACGCTGTGTGAAGGTTTCGTTTTCCTGACTGACATCACTCTTTATTCACGTAGCACACATGACAATATTAGTAATGGTAATTTTATGTTTCCTTGATGAGAAGGCTTACTTGAACACTATCATAACCTATGGGGATGAAACTCTGAGCCTAAAATATAATCACATGACAAAAGCATTTTTGTAAAAGCACTCACCGTTGTATATTACTGTTTCGCTTATTGCTAGAGACGAGCACCACAAATGTCACGTAAGTGAGGAACGCGCCATTATCAAGTATAAGAACTTGTCTGAGGTATAAGTCGAGGTATAAGTGATTGCAAGATACTCCGTACGGTTTATCTTTGCATTCCTCGAATTTATTCAAAATCTCTCAAGGGCTTTCTGATTTAATTCCTATAGGAGGATGGTGACTTCCACCTCTAATTCTTTTCTTACGTCTTCTTCTCCAATGAGGGAGAAGCTGTTCGTTTAGCTTTACGTTGATCGACTAGGTGTTCCTTTATATGGATATAAAGTGGCCGACCCGTTTCGCCAAATGTATTCGCTCTCGCGCGCTTTACAAGAGATCGGATGAACTGGACCCTAACTCGTACAATCACCGTCTTCAATGTTAGCACGATTTGCATTGTGCACATCCACCCAAAATGGCTATTTTCTGTGCCAAATTGTGTGACTACTCCTCCTACTTTATTCCCGTGCACACATTGGTGGTTCTTCAAATCATCTTCTCACAATCGTCCTCTTTGTGCGTGAAGGATGAGAGTAATGTTAACAAACCAGTATACTCCTACCACCCAGTTTTCAGTACCATGTGGTGATGGAGGCGTTTTCAGAAAGATTTTTTTCGGTTTCTCTCAGATGAATCTTATTTATTCTGGTTGTTCGTTCAACAACTGAAAACATTTGTTCACCTCCTCGTGTGTAGAGGAGATAACAAAATTCGTCTTTATATCTTTAGTGATGCAGTGGCCTGCAGAGAGGTGGGTTGATACTTCAACTACGTCAAGAATGCTTCGTACTACTCACAGAGCGCTTGAACGATGTCTTCTGAGATGTAACCGGCACTTCCAATATGTAGCCGGAATGCGATGCTCTGACCCTCGAAATCTGTCACATCTTCGAGATCCAGGAGAATATACATCGACAGCGAAACATATATGGGCCGATCACATAATGAGAAGAACAGACGACAGATGGACGAAAAGAACAGTAGAGTGGACTCCAAGAGAATGCAAACGTCCTCTTGGACGACCACCTACACGTTGGGCGGACGTGTTCGTAAACAAAGTTAATCAGCTGTACCCGCAGCTGCAGTTTTACAGAACGGTATGAGACTCGCAAGCGCTACCATGCTCGAACAAGACGATCACCATGGACTACGATTGCGAGAGAAAGGAACGAATGGCATATGTGCTGGGGTCCGCACAGCTCGTGAATACAGACCGTCCAAGTATCCAAGTAAGATGTAGTGGCCGGAAACTGTGTACTAGAGGTTGTGTCCTTATAGAAGAAGTAGGCGCCAGTCTCTTTCCCATTGCAGACGCTCTCAATTAATTGCCACGACCGACTTTCTATTAACCTCGGCATTGATCAAGTGATTTTCTTCGTATTTTTGTTGAGCAAACGCGAGG